AGTTAAAAGTGATATGCTGACATCTGTTATTCTCAGACAGTTTGTTTGCATGCTGTGGTTCTCCAATGACTGTTGAAATGCGAAGATATTGTAGTGACACCTCAGACAGATAATTACCTTCCCCCATCTTAATTCATTTTGTAATTATAAGTTTAACGGAAACTCCATATGCGGAATAAGCAACATGTTTGTGTATCATCACTATAAACACTGGGGTAACATTTTTCTGGGTCCGGTCCTGGCGTGGTCATAAATCCCTACTGCTGGGGAGTCCCGTACCAGGATAAAATAGTTGTCCAGTGCTCCCAAGTTCCAGTGTTTCTGCAACTGGTGTCAGGCCATGATGAGTACCAACGTGAAATCAACCTTTTCCGTTAAAAGCCGCGTGTCCGAGAAAGCTTATTTTCTTTTCGTGTGTTCTCTTTGTCATACGCAGTTGTGACTCACTGGCCTATGTACTCGAATTCAATCAATCGTGTATGGGTTCGAACCCCGCAGCTCTGCCGAGGTTTAGGCAGTCAGATAGTATCATTGGCTCTCACACAATAAGTGTGACTAATTGATCACTGCACACACGTGCACGTGGTTACTGAGCGCATCTTGAATGATATAATGTTTATGTTTCATTCAAAGTGAAAGTGTTTCTTTGTCCCCTCAGATTCCCAGCAATGCTACCGAAATTTCCACCACTGTCGTATTTATCGATCGCCTAACAACTTACTGATACCAGCGTTCTGGCAGTGTAATTTCTGCAATAGTTTGTTTTGCAAAGATGAGCTCCTATCAACCCCTCATGAAGTACAAGGCATGGTCGACGTCACAAATGTATAAAGTCGTACTTTTAGAGCTGTTTCTCACTGGTGAACACGTCCGACTTTCGACCAGTAGGTCATGGGGGTGGAACCTGGATAACGTTTCGGAGCAATTTTTTGGTCATTTTCATACCATGATATGCTGCAAAGGTAACAGTGGTCGGACACCTGAAGCCCTCCCAAGTCTTGCATCTTTAGTGCGTTATTTCACAGCAAAATTGATGAAGAGAGCGAAGTGCTGTGCAGTATATTACGCTTGATCCTCAAGAAGCTGTTGGATATCTCGCCAGCGCTACAGGTAGCGTGGTTTTGTAGAATCCAACCGAGCGTTGTGTCCGTGGTGAGAATTTTTTGGCCAATGGCCTACGAGGATTGATCCGACTTCTCAAATAAGTGGAGTGGTCAAGGCGCTGAATCACTTCACTGCGTATTGTCAGACACACGTTTGACTTGTGTTTGCATTTGAGTGATGAGACGCCGATCTCACGCATTTTGAAACAGCCACGCAAGGTATCGAGAAGACTCTGGATTAGTCAGTTTCTTCGCCAGGAGGATGATATCATGGTTGTGTGTAATTTCGTGCATAGCTGTGGCCGAGCTTTTTGCTAAATTCCGGTTTTGAACTAGCTAAGATTTGTACTTTGACCTATGCATTTGACCTTACTGTTGTTTCAAGACTTGTAAAAAAATATGACTTATACTAGTAACACAGATGTTAATAGTAATAACAATAGTGTTGGTAACAATGGTCACAATACTGTGAAGAGAGATGTCAAAACCTCTACAGTATTTCCATACAAAGAAGACATTTAGGATTCTCAGTAAGGCCGGGATTAGAGTGGCATTTAAACCAACAAACTAGACTAGAAACAAGCTTTGAAGGTTAAAAAATCGCATTGATCCAACTAGGCAAAATAATTTCGCTTACCAAATCCCTTGCAATGATTGCGAGGTTAAATATGTAGGTCAAAGTAGTCGACCAGGGTCAATTAGAATCGAGGAGCTCAAAAATTAGCTAGATCAAGACTAGTAGATCCTAATAAGATAAAAAATTTCGAGGAAGCTCGGGAATCACACGCAATTACATATCATATGGTGTGATAGTTCGGGGTATTAAAAACTCACTTAATTGGGTGGAGAAAGAGATTGATAATCGAATCTTCGTTTATCGAATCAACACGAAATACATGTGATGGAAATGATTCTGCATCTGTCCCAGATATATGAGATCCTACTACTACCCTTGTCACAAAGAAGGAGAGGAAATTAGAAACTATATAAACTGTGTCAAAGTTTTGGAGTTATATGATATGAATATGGACAATAAATTGTGTCCGAAGTGATATCCAGTAAATAATACTGTTTCACTGTGTGACACTTCCAATAAACAGACTAAAATGGAATTATAGCGCCCAAGCTTTACTCCTATGTTAAAAAAAGTAAGTGTGTTTTAATACATAAAATAAGTTTGAATTTTTCTTGTCGTATGCTACGTGTCCGCTTTTGTGGATAAGCTCATTTGTTGTGTTTTATCGATAATCTATCAGTCGTCTTATCTTTTGTAAAAGCTGTCATACTAACTGCTAATTCTACTTATCATTTCTATTCTCATAACAAGCTATGATTTCATTTCTCATGTCATTTGTTTTTTTTTGTTCATCAGGTAACCAGCTGCCTCGTGTCGTCTTGGGCTACGACACTCGTGAGAGTTCGCCAGCGTTAGCAGCTGAAGTTAAACAAGGCATTGACATCATACATGGGGCTTGCTATGAAATTGGACTGGTCACAACACCTCAACTTCATTATTTTGTTAAGTATATTGTAAGTTACCATTGCTGCACTTTTGTCGTGCTGAAATTGCGGCAAAAGTTGTTTTGAAAATAGGATGGTATGTTCCTGAATCCTAATTATACTGCGTCACGAGTTCATTTCTAAGGTTACCTAAAATAACTATCAAGACACTAGAGACAACGGGGATTTCTGCATAGATATCTTTCCCGGCAATCACATTATCTACAGGTATTTGGAAATAGTAGTAAACTTTGCTAATGATTGATACTCGTTGACATATATCTGCAGCTTTTGAGAAATTCATATTTTCTCTCCGTTTTAAAACCTTGTGTTTCTTTGTTGCTGTTTTAAATATTCTTTCAGGCTGCTTATATTTCAATCAATACCGTATAAGTTTGGATTATGTACAAAAGGTGGTCATCAGATAGCAATCTTGACGGTTTGCAAATCTGATACACGTTTAACTACAATATAATGAGTTTACTTATCTAATATCTGGTGCATAATAATTTGAATTTCCAACTATTGTTACCAATTAAGTTGGATATATTTTCAGATAGATTATTTTAGGAACATATTTGTACTTACCCATAACAATTAGGATTTATTGCCCTGTCTTCTGTTTGTATAGTATACCTGTCTATGTGATTTCATTTGATAAGTACTTTCCTCGAGATGATTTTGATTTCGTTCACAGTGATCCTGTCGGTTCTTCGTTTCGTTGACAAATGCAAGCAGACCTATCTATGCTATTTGTGTACAAAGATCTTCATTACCCAGCGAACTGTTTAAATTCTTCATCCCTGGGTAACGAAGGTCATCAAAGTATATCAGCTCCTCAACAAGAAAAACGTTTAAAAACTATTGACTACCAACACTGAAAGAGACCGTTGTCCAGAAAATACTACTTTTATTTTGCTTTCTTCACTCTTACTACTAATAATGCTTCGTTAATTTCTTCATTCCCAGTGAGATAGTGAAGAGATACGTTAAACTTTAATTCGCTTACAAACATCTGAGCTGTAACACTAAAATCTGCTATATTAAATTCTGATAAAGTAGATTGTGGGCTCATGAAGTGTTTGTTTGATCGATCAAGAATACTTTTGACCGATAGCTGATACTTTAATGTGGTGATCGGGTTTGGATATCGAAATGACCCAACAGGATATATGTATAAGAATATTTGTTCGTTGATGTCCTACCATAGCAGAATGGTCTGTCCCTTATTGATAAGACAGTTATGATGCAAACTACTACAGTATGATATTGTGAGGTGGGGCGAGGGCAAAGTCGTGCTGCTGGCTGGACAAGGGGTATGTTAGCAGTAGGTCGTTACCCTCAGATGACTAGCATTCCATGTTAATGCTGCCTTCTTTTATTGGAAAAGAATGCGTTAGCAACACTCAACTCTGAAAGTTGCATACTTGTTGTGTCCTGTGTTCTTCTGTTGCTACTAATATGTGCCTCCTTTGTTCGAGGGTAGAACAAGTCTCAATCCGAAACGTTTGAAAAGTCCATGTGGGACTGGCCTCAAGCAGAAGTTTCATGGACTCGACGCTACCCTTACTGTTCTGTTTTTGTTTTCAGGTACTCAAGAGGAAGTAACTTTTCACGGCATGGGTTACCGGGAAGCTTCAAAAAACCTTAATATCTGTTTGCGCTCATGTCTCATTTAATCGTTAACAATCCTACGTATTTTCGCCTTCTAATATTGATTCACATTCCACTGTCTTTGTTCACATGTCATCCTTAGCTTCATCAAAGTATGCATTCTCAACCAACAGTTACATTTCACGGAGTAGCATCTTTAGCTTCGCGAAACCCCGCTACAAATTACATATTGCATCTAACAATGTCTACACCCTCCACCAAATCGCCCAACAAGTTCCACTTGTAAAAACTCTGGCATTCAGGCTCATAGATAGATGTATGCTTTGATTGTAAAGCATGCAAAGAGAACCTTAGTGTGGTTGTCCACTTAATCTCACTTGGCACGAGTGATGAACCTACAAAATTCACCCTGCTGAATTGCAGGAGATTCTTTACTTAGTTACCACCGTCTATAAGTAGGTATAGGCACAGCGTTAGGCTCCAAGGCAGTAAGTGTACTGCTCAACTGGATGTCAATTACCAGTCGTCTAGTGGTGCTGACTGAATGTTGCAGTGAAGACTCGAAGGAAAAGTGAAACACACTCCGTTGTTTCCTCATGATCATACTTATGAATCCACTGGTTGTATTCGAATGGAGTGCAATAAGAGTTCTGTTAAAAATGATCTAGCCTATTACTGGAACCCAAACATTCGGATGTGTTTGTCGTGACAGTGATTTCAGTCCTCCAGTGGATAGGCTAAAGCAGTCAGGAGAGCAGTTGGTTGGCACTTTGGAAATCCAAGGTTAAGAAAATGGATAACAGTAATCATCAACCATGTTCAAATAGATGTTTAGCTATCTCATCCATAGATACTCACTTGCTGTTTCTATCTTCCAGTCGGGCACAAAAAGGCTTCGCTCCTACCTCTTTCCTGTGATTATTGAGGTGTAAACATGCTTCAGAACATACTAACATGTGATTGCTGTCCAGATGGTAACTTCAGATAGGGAAAGCGATAACCCTTCATATATCTCTTCAACGATGCCTCATAGCAATATGATCTATCTGTGTCCACCCTCAATTTGATGTCTACGGAAGACAAGTGAAAGGGCATTCCTCCTTATTCTTGAAATTGTACTGGTCAGAAACGAGTGGTTGTCAGCACAAAATTGCAGGAGACGATCACCGTCGTTGGTTTGTTGATCTAGGTCACCATAGATAACTCACAGATGGCTTTCCGATCAGCTCATCTACCTACTTGAGTGATGAAGTCACCTTCTGCTATGAGTATATCTGAGCGTTTCGTTTTATGTAGGAAAATTAACAGCTTTTGATAGAACTCATCCTTTGTATCATCCGAACTGCAGCCGGTAGGTGAGTGTAGGCAGGTGGAGACTACAAATCGTCAACAACCAGTGTCATGATCCTTCCCAGTTTTCACAGATCCATTCAGTTGAATAGCGCACAAACGGCTGTTGACTAGTGTCAAGTCGAGAAGTGGACTTTCTGCTCTACAACTTAATGCTATGCCTGAGCGAGCGAGTTCACAAGAGCTAACCATGGAGTCGCCAGATTCACGTAAGGTGAGTTTTTTAGATTCACCACAATAGGTGGATCAGGTCAAGTGAAAAACTACACTCGGGTCATGAATATTTGTTTCAAAAAAACACCATATATGCTTGACTTGTGATTCTTGAGTTCTCGAAAATGATGTATTCTGTCCGATTAAGCATAGGCTTCGGACATTGAAAGCTGCAAAGTGAAACCGACAGTAAGGCCTCAGGAAACTATAATTAAGGTTTAGATTGGCTTCAATTGTTGGTCGCAGTCTTAGGGGTTGAAGACGTTATTAGAGACTTAATACTGCCATCAGCAGGTGAAGGTAAAGAAAGAGATAGAGGTATGAAGGATAGTTAATGTTTGATTAGGTCTTGTATACTATTAATAACGTGAAGGCCGTTGACAGTTCCTGACTACCCACAACGAGTAATTTGTTTACGCAGATTACCTGAAATAGAAAAAAATTTATGGTCGCAGAAACATTTCCCGGCCGACAGCTATTACCTTGACGTAGTGGTCGGATTCGCATACCACAATGACCCAATGAGCTACATTGGCCGGAACGCTTATTCTTTCGAGGTTCTAACATGACAGAGGGTTTGTTGGATACTGGTAAGACGAATGCTACTACCGTTGTGGTGTATGCTGCTACACTGTGATGGGGGTCGAGGGTAAAGTCGTACTACGAGGTGGATAGGGAGTGATAGCAGTAAGGTGTTCCCCTTATAAGACAGGCAGTGCCACACTGATACTGTCATTCTTAAGGAAAGTGGAAGTCAGAAAACATCGACCCAAAAATTGCATATTCCTGCCGTTTTTTGAGAAGGCGTTATGAATGTCTCCTGCCCGGCGTTAGAAAAATCAACTCTGAAAAGCATAATCCGCAATCAGCTGCGTATAACATCTTTCAAGCAGATATCCCGTGAGCTCTGCGGTCACATTAGTTTTTTCTTTCAGGTGACATCATCACCATCTTCATCTATCAACATAGGACTAGGCATTACTATGTAGAGGTCCAAGTTGCCAAACCCACAGTCAGCACATCAAGTAACAGCAATAAAATAAAAAGGAAGGAAAGAAAAATCGGTCAAAGGAAGTAAAAGTACCCTAAGAAAAATGAGCCTTCCAGTGTGGTCAGCTAGAAAGTGTCAACCGCACTCATCACTCCTTCAGCAGCTAATTTCCCTCAGATCAATATCCACCTCCCACATTCATACCTTTTTATCTTCCCACACGTCTTTTGGTCAACTTTCCTACACAATGGCTTATTTCTAGCAACCCTACAGCTCTTGACAACGATGAGTTCACACAACAGCCTCCTGGTTCTCATGACATCACACCACAAATAACACATTGGAGCTCTCAATGTCCGGTCTGCCTTTCAATTCTGTCAAGAAGCTTCACTAGCTAAAACTCTGGCATCTCGCCCAATGGATGTGTGCTGTATCTGGGGGCACGCTTACAGAACCTAAGCACAGTTACTCACTTAACATCACCCACTGAATGTGGTGAATCTGCGAAATTCCACCTTCGAGTTCCTGGAGATTTGATGGCCAGTTCTTGTGGTCTGGCAGCTGTATGTATTGCATTGAGAAATAAGGCAGAAAGTTCTCTACTCGACTGGATGCCAGTTGACAGTCACCTATGCGCTATTCAATTGAACAGCACGGTGAAGACAAAAAGGAATAGTGAAACTCGCCGTTGTCTTTCTGTAATCTCTCCTTACGCTCACGCTGATAAAATGAACGATAAGTTCTACCGAAAGTTGTCTAGCCTCCTATTGAAAGCCAAACATTCAGACATGGTTGTTGTAGCACGTGGTTTCAGTGCATAAGTGAGTAGGTTATGTAAGGCAGAAGGACACTGAGGTTGCAC